GCGTGTGTGTGTGTGTGTGTGTGTGTGTGTGTGTGTGTGTGTGTGTGTGTGTGTGTGTGTGTGTGTGTGTGTGTATGTGTGTAGTATCAGAATACTAAGTAATTATAAATAATTTTTTATTTAATGATTTTGTATAATTATATTAAATTTAATTACTTTGAATAATTTTATTATTGATCTTTTATTATTGAGAAATATTATACTTTTATAATTATTACAGAAATACATAACATAAGTAAATTACCTAAGTATCCTCAAAGCAGCTAAACAATGATGATGTTGATCTACATGAACGTAATCTGTTAGATAATAAAATAATCTCTTCCATAGTTTCTCTCGTAAACAGGTACTATTCAACTCTTCAAAATTCGTCTTTTTATCATACTAAAATATTAGTTGTATAATACATGTAAATCGTTTCAATAGCTTCTAGAAAAACGTATAAAAAGAAGAGAAAAGAGACAGTTTTTTTTTTGACATATAAATTCTCTTATAATAAATGAATTAGAATTTAAAGAATTACTTGGTGACAGATTTGCTTATTAATTTAGGATAAAAAAAGTGTGAAATTAACAAATTAAGATAAAATAAATTGAGATTAATGAATCAATAAAATAAAATTTCTTCTAAAATTGCAAGCTTCGTAGAGCTGTGATAAGAAAAACATATATTACGTTTCTTAGTAAATAAAGAAGTATTTCAAAATGTATACTTACAATCTCTAGAAACACAACAATATTTTTACAAAATTCTTCATGTGTGCCGGAAATTAATTTCGAGATCAACTCTTCCGTATTAGCCTGATCCATGTCAACTCCAATTTAATAGAAAGCAATAGTAAGCGCCTTTTAAATTATATTACATACTTTATTTCATAATATTAGACGTAATGATAAATTCACCCGAATCGATCGGAACTTCACGAAGTTTGACAGCTGATTCTTTTTTTAATGTTTTTTTTAACTCTCATTGGATGGAGCAAAGAATATGCGTTAGCAAGAAATGCTCACACTATTTACTTCGTCATGCGTCCAGTCCGCTGTGGAATTAACCTGTTTTTTGATGGGTTTTGAAACACAGTTTGGAAGAAAATAAGTTTTTCTCTCTCCCCTTCCCTCTCTCTCTCTCTCTCTCTCTCTCTCTCTCTCTCTCTCTCTCTCTCTGGTAATGTTTCTTTCACGACTGCGTTCTGAAACTCATTGAAAAAAATATTTACTTTGATTGTGTGCCCATACGAAATATATTGACTGTTGGCATTGTTGCACACATATTGTAATCTGTCACCATCTGTGAATTCTGACTGATCTGTCAGTGTCACTTTCAAAGGGAATGGGAGTAGTACACGTAACCTTCGCCTATTAGCTTAAGATATTTAACAAATGTCCACGTACGCTTAGAATGATTATTTTTTAATCACTATTATGAAACTCGGGTGATACATACACGCATGTATTAATCGTTATAATTGCCTAAATAAAAGTTATTTGATTGCGTGCAATTTTTTTAAGGCTTCGAAAATGGAGCAAATAAAGGTTCCGAAGGTACGAACATTTCTGATTCAATATTTATCGTACTGTAATTTATTAGTAATGAATTGACTAGTGGTAGAAATATTAGATATTTATTTATTGATTCTATTTTCTTGTATTACTTTATACCAAAAATAACAAAAATTACAATGTTGAAAAAATGTCTTATTTTTATTCGCATATATATTGTATTCGCATATAATATTAGACTTCAAAAAAAAATATATTTGCAGGTAGAAAATGTGAGAATGCTAGACAAATATAGCAATAATCATTCCATCGGCACGCTTTACCTAACAGTGACACATCTCATCTTTGTTGAAAGAAGTGGCAAAAAGAAGATATGGGTAAATCAATCATATATTAGTTTAATAGAAGTTATTGTTAGGTTTATATCGAAAATAATAAAATATTAAATTACAGGTTTTATATACACATATTTCTAATATAGAGAAACAACCATTAACGACCACAGGATCACCATTGTACATTAAGTGTAAACATTTCTTCATTGTCACATTTGTCATCCCGAAGGAACGCGATTGCCACGAGATTTATCTCACATTATTAAAATTATCCTGCCCAGGTAATAAGCTACTACATTTGTATCATATTTTGAACATAAATGCCTTCTAAGAATTTTTAAAAGCGCTATGTTTATACATTATGTAACATACAGAATAAAAAAATTCTAAGATAATCATTCCTAACATAAAAAATTAAAATTTTTTATTGATTTAATTTTATTACAGTTAGTGTAGAAGATTTATATTGCTTCAATTATCAAGAAAATAAAGACACGCTACCTCAGCATGCAGGATGGAATTTCTTCAATGTACAAAGTGAATTTCAGCGCCAAGGTGTTCCCAACGAGGAGTGGTCACTTTCGTATTTAAATACTAATTATGAGGTAAAATAATATTCATTGTGTTATCATTTTACATTTTGCCATTAATTAAACTATCAATTTTTTTCAGCTTTGCGATACTTATCCTAGGTACTTATATGTTCCCAGTGCATCTACCAAAAACATTTTATTAGGCAGTGCAAAGTTTAGAAGCAGAGGAAGGCTACCAGTTTTAACATACTTGCATTCAAACAAGGTTTGATCAAAATGATAAACTAAACATTTGATAAATAAACATTTAATAAATAAAAGTTTTTCAAATAAAATAATTTGTAGGCTGCCATTTGCCGCTGCAGTCAACCACTTTCAGGATTTAGTGCACGATGTCCTGAAGACGAAGAAATAATGCATAATATATTATGTACAAATCCTAATTCACGGTATATGTATGTTGTCGATACAAGGCCGCGGGTAAATATATTGGAATATATAATTCCTTTTTTAATTGAATATCAGACCTAATTTTATTCCTTTTATTTTATTTTATATTTTCTTTAATATGTCATTTCTTTAGAATTGAAAACAGAAAATACCGTTATAAATATTTTAAGCTTTTTTTTAGAGATAATATTTTATTTAATCGATTTTAAAAACAAATTGATATTTAATTATTTCAGTGATGACAAATGTTATAAATATGTAAAATAAATGATTTTTATAGTTATTTCTAAGGATACAAGATATTAAAAACAAAACTTAATTCTGTTTAATTAGATTAACGCCTTTGCTAACAGAGCTGCAGGGAAAGGATATGAGAATGAAAATTTCTATGACAATATCAAATTTCATTTCTTCGGGATAGAGAACATTCACGTAATGAGAACGAGTTTAAATAAGCTTTTGGACTGTAAGTAACATTTTTACAGAGTTTGTGTATAAAACATCAGTTTCCTTACATTACAATTGTTAAATTTTCATCTGTATTTGAACTTTTAGTACAAAGATCAACCTCCATGAGCGCATTTTTAAGTGGCCTAGAAAATAGCGGTTGGTTAAAGCATATTCGCTCTATTCTGGAAACCGCTTGGTTCATTGCACGGGCAGTTTCGAACGGCGTGAGTGTAGTAGTGCATTGTAGCGATGGATGGGATCGTACTGCGCAAGTGTGCTCTCTGGCTGCATTACTATTAGATCCATTTTATAGAACCATCCAAGGTTTTCAAGTAAATTTAATACCAATTTGTTCAAATTTCTGCATTTATAATTATTATATGATTAAATTATATATTCCATTTCTCTCACATGATTAAAAAAACTTCTTACAGGCTTTAATAGAAAAGGATTGGCTATCGTTCGGTCATAAATTTAGTGATCGTTGTGGCTATGTCAGTAGCGATGGTAAAGAACTCGCACCAATATTTACACAGTTTATAGATGCAACATACCAACTGCTACAGCAATATCCATATAAATTTCAATTCAATGAATATTTTCTTTTAACGTTACATGATCATGTACATAGCTGTCAACACGGTACATTCATCGGAAATTCAGAGAAAGAAAGGCAAATATTAAGGTATTACATCTACATATTGATCTTTTTCTTCATGATAAATGTAAATGAAAAAAAAATTATGATGAATATTATTTTAGATTATCTGAGCGAACATATTCGTTGTGGGGCTACTTAGCAAATAATATGAATGAATATATAAACCCAATCTACAGATGCAATCGTTATAATAACGAGGACTCTATTGATATTCTTCAACCTAAATTGGCACCTCAATCTATTGTGTAATAAATATGTAACTTTTATGCAACGATTTATATTCAATATTGTTAACCATACAGTTTGAATGTAAACCGTGTTATTTTATTTTCAGTCTTTGGAGAGGCTTATACTTTAGATTTGAAAATGGAATACATCCTAGAGAAACGTGTGAAGATTTAATTTTGACGATCTACGATCACACAAGTTCCTTAGAAGATCATGTAAAGCTTTTATTAAAAGTATGTATCACATAGTTTAGTCAAGCAAATAGATATTATATTTTAACAAATAGATAATTAAATTTTGAACGAAAAATTAATGTATCTGCATTTTAATTTTCTTCAACAGCGAGTAAATTCTTTGGGACAACTTTTAAATACAAGTAACACTCAAAAGAAGGGAAAGCATAAATTTGACACTAAATTCACGAAGGAATCTTTGTCAGAGAATATAATAGAGAACACCGCAAATCACGATGAAAAAACGAGAAGTAAACTAAAAGCAAATCAATTGGAAAATGAATTAAAGACAGTTGCCTTAGAATGGAAATCGTCGCGAAATATAGAAGAATGTGGATGCTCTACTACATTTGATACTTTTAACAAAAAGGTATAATTGACGAGTGTACCTTGTAAGTTAAAATAACCTTTTTATGTTTACTTCATAATGAGTTTTATTTCAGCATCATTGTTGGTCCTGTGGTGATGTACTATGCACAAGATGTATGACAGTGCACACTAAATTACCTGGACATCTGTCACAACGTGCCGTACCCACGTGCAAATCATGCTATCAAAGTTTCGGCATATCTGCCACTAGTCCTTAAACGTGCTTTATTTAATGCTGACTTATTCTTCTCTATTTATATACACGTTTTTTTTTAGCGAAATGAAGAAGCATAGCATATATATCAGGCATTGTATTATTCCAATTTTATATATTTAGCTTTTCTATATATTTCTTTGAATTTTATTTCGTTCGCATAATCGATCAATACAAACAACGTAGTACCTGATTACAATATATATAACATACGGACTTATTTCTAACTTAAATAATTCATAAACACTTTAAAGTTCGTGAATATTACACCAAATAATTGATAACAAATCATTGACTATCAACTACTATGGTACGGTCGATAAATGTTGCTATGTAACGTTTTACGTTAATGACTTTAAAACTATCTCAACTTATACTTCAATACTTTATAATTATTAAAAAAAAAATGATACATAAATTACGCAAATATAGAAACTTACGGAAACACAAGCTGACTTTTGCACATTCTGTAAATGCATATAGTTTGTTTGCCTTATAATTAAAATGGATTCTGCCATAGTAGTTGAAAAATATTTGAGTTACATCAGGACATAAATTGTATACATATCTTGCATTCACATATATTACATTCTCTTCGACTTTTTTACTGTCTCTTATTGATTTGTCCCAGTGTAACATTAAAATATGAATTATGCTATCTCCTTTAATGCTACAACATTGAAAAATGTTGTAATTAAAAACATAAATATATACTTTACTATTATTAAGGCATTGTCCATTTTAAAAGAAAATACTCCATTGTAAATTTCAAAGAATACAAATACATCATACATCACTCAGTACACAAAAGCATATGTATAATTCGAGAACAGTTTCCTCAAATATATTAATAAGATTTCATATACGATATCAAATGTCAATATTCTTAGAAGAGTAATTAAATATCGCATCACACATTGCAGTAACTGAATTTACTAGTGACTGGTAACCTACTATCCACAGTGGCAAGTGTAATGTGTGGAATGTGATAT